GCGTCCTGGCTCGCCTGTAGGCCTACCAAAGAATGTTCTAATAGTCTTTTGTGTGGCTTCAACGAAATGTTCTTGGAACATTCTGGAAGGGACTGTCTTGTTTTAACCCATCGGGCTTATGTGCTGAGAACATTGTTCTTGTTCTTAGAACGTTTATGGGTTCTAAGAACATGTCGTGGTAGGCCTATTGGAATGCCGGGACGGTCGGTCCCTGCTCAATCAGGCTCCCTCCCAGACATGCGACGTCTTGATTTTTTCAGGACGGCGTCCCTGGAAGTCCCGACCCTTTCCTCGGGGTCGGTTTTTCGGCCTGCGTTCTTTTTGGACGGTCCCGAGGCCCGGCGAGGGCCCCCCGGGGCCGAAAATCGCCAAAAACCTCCCGTCCTGATTTTTTGTACCACGCCATCATATCTGGGCTCAGGCTAGGAACAAGGAAAGGCGACACCAACACCAACAGGGCGAGGAGATGCGCGGAGGCAAGGGGGGTCTCCCTCGCAGTGTGGTCCCCTCCTCTCGCTCGAGACATCCCCAGTCTCTCGCTCGGGGAGGCATCGTGGACCTCCTCGCTGGAGGTGGGCCCCCTGGTGGTGTTGGTAATGGAGGATGACGATTAATGAATGACTGGGGGTCGTGTTCACGCGGCGGCGCCCGGGATGACGATTAGAAAAAACTGGCCGCGGGCTGGATATCTATATTTTAAATCGTTCTCCTCCAGTCAGAAAATTATGCAGAAACAGCAGAAAACATTTTTATTTATCGTTCTCCCCCATTTTTTGTATTAATCGTCATCCCGCATTATCGCTCCTCCTCCCTCCGGCAGGCCCCTGCTGCTGGACTGGTTCCCCCTGCCGGCCCCGCCGCGGCCCCAGGCGCCGCCTGCCGGGGCGCCGGGCCCCGAGCGCCCGGCGCTCACGCCGCCGCAGGTGGCGACCGTGGCCGGCGCCACCGCCCTGCGCAGCTCGGGGGCCTCCGCGGGCTGACAGGCGCGGTTACTCGTCCTCTCAGGCGGAGGAGGAGGAGGAGGAGGAGGAGGAGGCGGAGGAGGAGGAGGAGGAGGAGGAGAAGCAGGAGGAGGAGGAGGCGGAGGAGGAGGCGGAGGAGGATGAGGAGGGACCCACTCGCGCGTCGTGACTCAAATTCACTCCCCAGAGATCCGATGTCGAGATTTGTTCAATACGCGGCCCCCGGAAGTCTCGACCCATTCTCCAGGACAGGTTGTTCGTCCTGAGTCGTTTTGTTGACGGCCCCGAGGCCCGGCGAGCGCCGCTAGAGGCCGAAAACAGTGAAAAACTTCCGTCTTGATTTTTTCAATGCGATGGATCTCTGGGTCTCCCTCTTCCCTCCACAGACCCCCTCGCGCGTCGTGATTCAAAATCACGGCGCGGGAGGTTGCTGCCAGTTGTCGGCCCCCGAGGGGGCCCCTTCTACCGGGCCCAGGGCCCATCGAAGAGAGCTGCTCTGGGTGGAAGCGGGTCCTACGGAATGGGTCCACACCCCTGGGATCCCTTGTATGGGAAAATCACGCCGTCGGGGGTCTGAGTCCCCAGAGATCCAGCGCATTGAAAAAATCACGACGGAGTTTTTTCTCAAATTTCGGCCCCCAGGGGCCCTCGTCGGGCCTCGGGGCCGTCCAAAAACGCCTCAGGACGAAAAACCAGTCCTGGGGAATGGGTCGAGACTTCCGGGGACCGCGTATTGAAAAAAACACGACATCGGGTTTCTGGGTTTACTGGTTCTGGCAGAACGGATTGTCTTAAGGCTCCCCCCCACAGTTTCCAGTACTTCGCGCATGACCACCTCGCCCCTCAAGATGAGTTCAGATACCCTTCAAGCCTACAGCGAGCGTGGCAATCATCCTCCCTCCTCCTTCTCTTCATTCTTCTTCTTCTTCTTCTTCTTCTTCTGTTCCTCCTCCTCGTCCTCATCCTCCACATCCTGCTTCCCCTCTCGCATAATGGGCTTCCACCTGCGCCCTCGCTACCGAGCAGAACCATGCCATACTTGTGTGCCCATGTTCTTCCTCGTAACAGCTCGTCTGCAAGGGTCCTACGCATGCGCTGATTCGACAGATCGGAGTGCAGGGATCGCCCGATCTGGAGTGGGTCGGGCGCCTTGGCATTCCGAGGCCTCCACTGGCCTCCAGGGGATCGCTGGATCTGGAATCGGTCGGGCGCCCTGCCCTCCCGTAGCCTCCGATGCGGCAAGGGGCAGAGCCACGCGCACGGGCACTGATGCTTGTACACGCTCGGCCTTGGCGTCACGTTCCGCGGAAAGGGAGAGGACTCATATTCGTGGGGGCACGTGTTCGTCGATGCGACATCAGCGGCGCTCATTCGGTCCCCTCTGGCCGAGGCGATTCAGCCACTGCTCGGTTTGATGCTGGGCGTCAATTGCGTGGAGGTTGTGCGAGACGCCACGCTGTGTTTCTTGCCCCACTGGGAGACACGTGGGATTCGACACCCTTCTCGGGAGATCGTCAATACGTTGGGTTCCACCAGGGGGGGGCTGAGGATCACAGCTCCCTCCCTTGTGTCTGGTTGGGGTTCGTGGTGCGCCGAGCGCCCCGTGGAGACAGGCCGCACGGGGGGGCAGCGGCGAGCCTGTGGCCGAGAGCCCGGTCGAGTTGACGACCGTCAGGCAAGACGGTCAGAGCGCGCCGTGGCAGCTCTTTGCCGGCATCGGGCGAACGCTTCGTCCCTTGCCGGGGGGGCTCTCGTGAGCCAAGCTGGCGACCCGAAGATGTGCACGCAAAAGGGTGCGGGAGCTTTGCCCCAGCACGTGCGCCCGCTGGCGCAGTTGCGCCTCGCCCCGGACCCCAGCTGTTCGCCCCTTTGTGGAGGCACCTTGGGACACCTCTAGCAACACCCGACTTTCATCCCCTCGTCTTCATCCTGCTCCCCGCCCTCCTACCGCCTCCGTCGCCCAGAGCCTGCTCGTTCTTCGTCCTCCATCGTTTGACTGCTAGCCGCGTGTTTTTTGTGCGTCGTCTCGACGGTCTGTTCGAGTCCGCATGTGCGGCAGGCTGCCAAAAGGCAACTGGCTGCTACCCCGCGAAGGATCAACTCCAGTTTTAGCCATGCGGTTCTTCACCGAGAGCAGCGCATGCGAGAAACAGGGGCCTAGGATACAGCATACTGCTGTGCGGCAGGCTGCCGGAAGGCAGCTGCCCGCAACCCCGCAAAGGGTGAACTCCAGTTTTAGTCATGCGGCTTTTCACCGAGAGCGCATGCGAGAAAAGGGCGCATGGGAGGCGGCATCTCGAGAGGTATGCCGCGCCTCGTCGTCGAAATCGAGGGGGCCGGGGGAGGGGGTCCCCCCCCCCCGAGGCGAGGGAGAACGCAGAGCGGGGACGATAACGGGAGGAGGAGAATGGGGTGGAGCTCCTCCTCCCCTCCTCCCCCTCCTCCTCCTCATCGCCATCGTCACCATCACCATCATCATTAGCATCATCATCATCATCATCATCATCATCATCATCATCATCATCAGCAGCAGCAGCAGCAGCAGCACCATCAGCATCATCACCGCCACCACAACAACGACCATCATCATTATCAATAACATCAGCATCATCAGCATCAGCAGCACCACCATCACCCCAACCATAATCATAAGCATCATCATCAGCATCATCATTATCAGCATCGTCATCGTTGTCGTCATCATCATCACCACCATTATCATCACCACCATCATCATCCTCATCATCATCCTTATCATCATCACCGCCATCATCATCACCATCACCATCAGCATCATCGTCGTCGCCATCATCAATCATCATAGGCACCAGCATCCCCATCATCAACGTAATCGTCGTCATCATCATGGCCGTTATCATCATCATCGTCGCCATCACAACACTCTTCATCTTCACCATCATCAGCATCGTCAGCATCACCATTAGCATCAGCATCAGCAGCATTATCAGCAGAATCAACAACCTTATCAGCATTACCATTATACTCAGTATCATCATCAGCAGCATCATCATCCGCAGCATCATCATTCCTTTCGTCATCATTTTCAGTATCAGCATCAGCATCGACATCATCAGCATCATCAGCAGCATTATCAGCATAATCAACAACCTTATCAGCATTACCATTATACTCAGTATCATCATCAGCAGCAGCATCATCATCCGCAGCATCATCATTCCGTTCGTCATCATTTTCAGTATCAGCATCAGCATCGACATCATCATTGCCACCATCATCATCATCATCATCATCATCATCACCATCATCATCATCATCATCATCATCATCATCATCATCGTCATCATCATCATCACCATCATCATCACCATCATTATCACCATTCACAGCACCACCTGCATCATAACCATCATCAACACCGCCATCATCATCATCATCATCACCACCATCATCATCATCCTCACTATCCTCATCCTCATCATCATCATCATCCTCATCATCCTCATCCTGATCCTCATTCTCATCCTCATCCTCATCCTCATCGTCGTCGGGAGCTGGCTCGTGTGCGGCCTTCGCGTTGTGCCGTTTCTTCCCCGCCCCCAGCTCCCCGCAAGGCCTGCTGCCCAGTGCGATGGTGCCTACTGCTGCTGCGGGTCGTCGTGCGCGAGCTCGCCGTTTGGCAACCCGCCACGCTCGGGCAGCAGACGCGGGCCCTGGGAAGGCTGCTGGCGCCGCTCGCCGTGGTGGACGGCGCTCCGGCCGATGCCGTGAGGGCTGCTGACGCGCGGCCCGCGCCGCTTGCGCTGCGCCGCTCCTCGCCAGTCCTGGCCGACGGCCCCCGCGGACCTCGTGCAGGTCGCGGCCTCGGCCCGCAGCACGCGTGGCTCCTCTGTGAGACGTCGGGCATGGGATGCATCCGCGCGCTGGCGCGGGCGGCTGCGGGTCTTCTCGAAAGTGCAAGCGGTGTGTGTGTGTGTTTGTTTGTGTGTGTGTGTTCTTCGTGTTTGGTCAGCATCTGCCCCCGCCGCCGCTGGCCCCCCCGCCTCGCTGCTGCTGCTGGCCTCGCGGCGGTGACGGCCGCGCCACGCGCCCCTGGGATCGACCCGTTCCCCTGAGCGGCCCTGGCCCGTTTCCTATTCCTCTTCGGCCGTCGCTTTGTTGCCGTCTCCTCCTGTCTTGCATGGTGGCACAATTTTGCTTAACGGCAGCCCCGTTTCGCTTCCTCGCCAGCGCAGTGGCTTTGCCTAGCCTTAAGTCGGGCACGTCCCTCTACAGGAGGAATATTCAAAACAATGTTTAAAAAAACAGTCTGGGGACGATGTTAGACTATTTTTGAACATGTTTGGAGCAGTCTTGGAGTAGTTGTAACTGTTCGTCCAAACTCCCCCTGTAGGGGGACAGGCCCGACCTAAGCCTAGCCGCCGACGCAAAAGTGTGTTCTTTGTGTCACGGGGCGCCTCTGCCCTCCTTAGGGAGGTGAAGGCACGCCGCCGTGGAGGTCTGCATGGGCTGTGCGCGCGTGATGTACTGCGGCATCGGCTTCGCGAGCAAGCTGGGCAGGGGCTGCAGGAGGCTCGTCGGCGCGTGCTGGCGGGGGGCGCTCTTCACGCGTGGCGTTGCTCTCTCCGCCTACGCGCGTTTCCGGAAGTCCCTGAACGTGGTCGTGAGTTTCGGCCTGGGGTGCTCACGCTGGTTGGCCAAGAGTATTGGCGCTGTCCTCGTGCCCCCGTGGCCCCATGGAGCGGGTCAGCAGCTGGCGGTGCCCATGTCAGCGTGGCTCATGTACCACACTTGGCTGCTCCGCCTCTTCGTGGCGCTCAGGTACCCGCTCGGTCGTCTACTTGTGCGCGGTGCTCTTGGTCTTGGGCAGCCCAGCTTCCCTGAGCGGATTGCCAGCGCCTTCACCACTTGCTGCGTTCGTGGCCTCGTCGCGGTGCTCGGAGCCCCATACGCGACTGCGCCCTGGAGTTAGATGCTCTGGAGGCCGAGGCGGCCATCCAGAGGCACAAGTGGCGCCGACGCCGGCGCGGGAGGCCGCGGTGAGCCGCCTGAGTTCTGCTTCGTGTTTCAGAGGGCGGAGGTCCGGCATCAGCATGCGTGCCAGTCTGTGCTTGCACCCGCTGTCGTTGTTGTTTCTCCCCCTGTGATGCGGGCAGTGTTTGCACGGCTCTGGCAGAGACGGCCAGATCGAGCGGGCGGGTCGGTGAAGCGTCAATCTGACATGAATCGCGAGGAAGTTTCGAGCGATTGTTCGATTTCCTCATGTAAATCGCATGGGAATCCAACGTGAGAGCGTGATGTTTGGCTCTTGGGGGCGCGGCGCCGGTATAAGTTGCAAGGAAGTGCCACGCGAGAGATCGATTCCTATGTATGTATATCTATAGAGAGATACACATGGGTATGTATAGGTGTGTATATATAGTGTGTGGAAAGTCCCGCGCGAGAGTGCAATGTTGACAAACATGTTGGGAAGAATACGGCGGAAGCCGTTGTTGTTGTAGTTCAGAGGCCTACAACGCATTTGGGCAAAGTGTTCCTCAAAGTGAGAATTCAGCAACAAAACATCAACATAAACATTAGCATCAACATCAACATCATCAGCAGCTTCATTAAGAGGAGGGGGGCAAGGAGGAGAAGCGGAGATGACGCAGGAGATGCGGGAGAGGGAAGATATAGGGAGAGAGAGAGCGATAGAGAAGGAACCACTAGACCCCTAGAACCGGAGGGGGAAACGGTGCCGATACCGCTGTTCGTCCTGGATAGCCTTCGTCGCCACGGCTGGATTCTTCCCGAAATTCTGGTCAGTGCGCACTTCAGGAGAGGGGGGTAGCGGCATCGATACTTTTTGTTGTCCCCCCATTTGCAGCCAGAGGGCAGAGACAGACACAGAGAGTCAGGAGAGAAAGCTGGGTTGTGGGGGAAGACAGATGAAGTTCTGGGTGGGGGGTGAGCGTCTCCAGCCCAGGTGGGGTCCCCAGATTGTACGTGTCGCAAGCCTGCTCGTCTTCGCTCGCTGCTCATCAGGAGACTGCTCGCAGAAACGCGCCAGAGGCTAAGTGGTTGAGGCGCCGTCGCGGGGTGTGATTGACCTTTCTTCCCTCCCATTCGTGTTTCCTACGAAGTGTGCAAAGTTACTTCGCTTGGCTGGTGCTGTTTACTTCTGCCGCAATCGGCGGCTCAACAGGCTGCAGTTCAGACTGGCTCTGGTTGCGCGCTGTACCTGCAAGGATGAAGGAACGATGCTCTATATGGAAGCATGCCTTCCCTGTCGCACGCGACTTCAAACAAACCATGCTTCCGATGGGGAATGCGAACTACCCATGTCAGCTGCCCTGACACGCCCGTGCTGCAAAGCAACACGCACCGTGCTCAAAACGTCTGGGTTGGTCACGTTGCCTGTTGGTTCGGCACGTGTTGGCCCACGTTCTGGCGAACGTACTGCACCAGACATTGCTTCCAGTCTCAGAGGGCGGGCCCCGGGACCCCGACACCTCAAAAAGATTGCCCTTTCCTGGGAGACCGAGCTCTTGTTTCCGCCAGCGGAGGCGGCCTCGTTGCATTTTCGCCCATTCCTGCCACCCCTCCCCTCCGCCTCCACCGAGGCAGAGATGCCAACTCTCCCGCTGTTCGAAGGCAGGGCCATCTCTGGAACGCCCCGCGTGCCGATCTCCGTGCCAGCGCGCCACGGGCTGCGTGCCGGGGCGGCGCAGACGAGCTGCCTCCGGAGCCGCTGCGGCCCAGGCCCCCGGGCGCCCGGCGCCGCTGCCGTGGCGCCGGGCGGAGACAGTGCGCACACGGGAGGCCTCGGCGGCGGGATCCGAACCCTCCGCCTCCGAGGCCTCCGCCTCCGAGGAGGAGGGGCGAGCAGCACAAAAGCTCGGCGAAGGTGTGTTGGCCACCGTCGGCCCCTGGGGGCCGCTTCGGGGCCCCGGGGCCGTCAGGAGCGGGTCCGGGGTGAAAGAAAATTGCACCAGGTGGACGGCGGGGGATACGGGGGGACCGGCCTTCTGAGCGCATCCAGCCTCGTCGCCCGACTTCTTCGTCGAGCAACGATGCAGGCAGCTCGATGGGTGGCGGGGGTGGGGTTCAGCCTGCATCGGACACGAGGCGAAAATCTGAGCCCCGCCCCCGCCCCACATCGGTTCTGGGAAGTCAATGGTTGGCAGGAGGTGCGTTCGGAGATCGCCACCTAGAGTCGTGCATGCCCGAGGGGCAAGAGAAGAGGATCCACACCAGCCCCCGCTGTTGGCGATTACTGCAGAGCCCTACGCGATCACCAGGCAAACTTGTCCCGCTCGACTACTTCCGTGCGCGCTTGCCAAAGGCCAAGGGACCTCGCTTGCAGGGGTGATCATTTTGGCCCGATCCTCCGCCTTCCGAACTGTTTGGTAGCCGTCGGTCCATCCCCATTGGGATGTGGGTCAAGGGCGTCTCGGATACTTCTCGGGGTCTCTTGGAATGTCTCTCGGGGGATTCCTGGGGTCCTCTTGGGGGGCCTTCTGGGGTCCTCCTTTGAGCCTCTGGGGAGTCTCTTGTGTCCTCTTGGAGGCGTCTCGGGGCCGTTTTGCGGCACAAGAAGACTCCTGGATCGTGGGGGCCTTTCGAGTTCCCCCCTGCGGGGCCTCTCTAGGAGCTCTTCTTAGACCCCTTGGGGGGAGGCGGGGGCCGACGTAGGGCGACGTCTGGAGCCTCCGATGAGCCATCTTGGACGCTCCGAATGTCAGAAAGGCGGACTTCGCTAAATCATTCCAGGACCGTCTGTTATTCCAGTGGCCTTGGTATCCTGGGCCAGCCCCCAGGTCTCCAAGACGGCCAAGCAGATCCCCAAAAGAGCCCCGAGACGGACCCCATGGGGCCACACCAGGGCATGTTGTTCGAACCACGCTCCCAGAGCCTTTAAGACAGCCGTGCAGGGAACCTCAGAAGTGCCTGGGAGCGTCCACGAGAGCTCGGGAGCCTCGTCAGGAGGTACATATAGGGGCTTGTAAGATGCATACGCCCCAGCGAAAGGCCCAACCATACGCGGCTGGGAGCACAGCAAGGCAATGAAAGATGGGAACGAATCCTGTGAGGGGTGTGCCACAACGGCGGGGTGGCGGCGTGCAGGCTTTGCCGCTGTGCCTTTCGGTGTAGCAACCTGTGGTGCCATGACATGTGTGAGTGGCGAGCCGGCATGTGGCGGGGCCGCTATGCGGACATCTTCGTTGGGGCCTGAGTTGGAGTCCCCCATGGGGCCACGAAACGTGTGAGGGATCCGCCGAAATGGGACAGGGCCGCCATGCGGACCTTGCCACTGGAGCCTTCGGTGGAGCTCCCCATGGGGCCGTGCAACGCGTGAGGGGTGAGCCGAAATGGGGCGGTGCCGCCTTGCGGATTTTGCAACTGGGGCTTCCTGTAGAGCTCCGTATGGTGCCACACGAAGCGAATGAGGGGTGCACCAACATTTGACTGAGTTGGAACTACTTGTAGAGGAAACGAAACGCGTGAGTGGTGTGCCGAAATGAGGAGGCGCCGCAATGCGGACTTGGCATTTGGGACTTGGCTGGGGCCCCCGATAAGAGGCGCCAAGCATGTGAGGGATATGCCGACATGTACACGGGGAGGGCAGAGGCAGCCTGGGAGGAGGGAGGAGGAGGCAGCGGGAGGTGGGAGAGGGTTGCAGGGCGCTGTCTCTTTGAAAAGAGGACCCAGGACCACAGGATGATTAGGACAAGCAGTATTGAGTGCTATCAAGTGCTACCATGTATTTGGAGACACTCAACTCAGTCAGGACCTCGGGCGCGGTGATGTGTAATTGGTCGTTCAGGCATAGACGCACAGTTCCCGTGTGAGCACGCACTCGCATACATGTCCGCAAACATGACAGAAGTAGTCTACTCATTGCTCCAAAGATCTTGCATGCTTCACTCTTCCAGGGATGCGCATGTATAGTGATTACAGCTCCTTCCTCCGTTCTGGGCTCACGGTTTCTCAGCAGCACGGTGCGACGTGCAAGTTCGTTGGTATCATTACCTCGCAGCGATGCGTTGCTGAAAGCAGCATGGCACATGCGGACAATCGAGACATACGTGCCCGAAGCGATACACCTAATTCAATGCGCATAGCAAGTACAGGCTTTGTGGGCCCCGGAAACGGCAGGGCCGTTTTTTCACCGTTTCCAGAAAAATGTCCCTTGAAAATGGAAACGGCAAAAAAAGGCGACCGGAAACGGAAAAAAACAGCTCCAGGATTGGAACCGGAGTTGGAACCGGTCAAAAAAACGGCGACGGAACCGGTAAAAAAACGGCGTCGGAACCGGCAAAAAAAAGGCAAAACGGAACCGGTAAACAAACTGCCCTGTCGTTTCGAGGGCCCACTAAGTGTACAGGGACGCACACATCGTACAGACAGTACACACGAGCTTGCACACATACATAGCAAAGACACGTATACATCCGCAACACACAAACATAAGCACCGTGCGAACATATCCCTGGATACATACATACAGCCACTTCTCGGAATAGCACTCTTGCCTCTGCGTAGGTCGTATGTCTAGATCGGCAGGGTGCTCGTTCCTCAGCCCCAGCCCTGGCTTTGAACTGCTGGACAGCATGGTAGGTAGTCCCGTCCGTGCTCAGTGAATATCGCCTCAGCCCCTGCCAGATTCCCAGGTCGGAACGGCGCTCTCGCCTCAGCTTGGGCCACACCTCCAGCTCGGAGTTGCGCTGTCTCTTAAGCTCCGGCTCTTGTTCCGAGGGACAGCATGGTGGGCGACGGCGCGCATACAGAACTCGACCACGCCGGAAACAAAAAGATGGATATATTGTCGTGAGGTTGTCTTGCGTTGGCCCTTCATACTTGTCCATTCTCTCCATGCTGGGCGCCTGCACAAGCTTGTCATTGTCGCCTCAGGCGTCCAGGGTCCAGGGATCCCGTCTAGGAGTTGGAATTGACGTGCCCGTAGCTAATGCTGATCAATGCCAAGTAAATTTCAGTGCTGCAGGCCAAGTGCTGTCCTGTAGACTCTTCTCTCGTCCTCCTCTAATTCCTGCACCTCCGTAGCCAGTGTGGCTCAAATAATTCTGTTGCAAGCAAGTTGCATCCACGCGCGGTCCTGACGCTTGCGGCACACGAAATTTTGGGACGTTGCAGGGCGCAGATCTTCGCCTGACCAGTCAAGAAGATGGGGGAGTTCTCGCTCTACAACGCGTGCTTCTTCTTATACGTCTTCATCGTGCCAGCGTTTCTGCAGTATCTGATACGCGCGCCCTCGACTTTCAGTTCAGCGCCATTCTACCCTGTGCCGCTTGCCACGCTGCAGGGGAAGGTGGCGCACGTGAACATGAGCAGCCCTCCGCAGACGATGGAGGAGGGGGTCAACCACTGCAAGCCCTGCTACGAGGACCAGTTCCACAAGACGGGCATGTACCAGTGGGACATCATGCTCAGGATGACAGGGCCAGAAGCCCGCAAAACCTGTACATAACATCCATTGGCATGCGCTCGTGGATGGTTTCTCGGCCAGCGCCGGACACCCGTTTCGCGTCACCCCTGGGCATTCGGCGCTGCCCCGGAGGGTTGCGGGGAGGGGGTCTGGCGCGGCGGAGAGACTGTCCGCGGACGTCCACGAGATGATGTCCAGAACAGCGCTTGGACCAGTTTCTGGGTGTTCGCCCAGTGCGCGCTTGCACCGCGTGGCTTGCACCACGCATAGGTTGCACCACCTATTCCCTTGCGTACGAGAGATTGGACTCTGCCCTTCCGAGACCTGGGTTATCAGTCTTTCTGGTACTGTTTGTTCCTAGCTTTTCTGCGCGATCGTACATCCGAAGTACGTGCAAGATAACAGCAGGCCAGTCAGGGTGGGTATCTCCTCCCACCATCTTGCAACACATCGCATGCAGTGCACATGCGCTGATCTTAAGGAGTGCGTGTTCAAATCACCAATACAGAAGCTACGATGCGTAACACATGCGCGCGCCGCCTCCCGCGCATGCCAAACTATGTGAAAGCCATTCGTTGTCTCACCAGTCGAATACATATGCCAACACATTGTTCTTGCTCGCCAGCACAAATTGCCAGAACTCTGCGCTCGCTCGCCGAAATCAATGGAGAGCCATAGGTGTTGAGACATTCTGTCTCATGAGACTACGTGGGCCACACGCGCGTGCATGTCGAAAACGTTCAACACCCGTCGCCTGCTTGCCAACTCAGTCAAGTACTATACTGCTGGCCACGCGCGCGTCACCGCGCGTGCGCGCGCGTCTTCCGAAACCATCGATGTTCGCACCATTTCAACATGGACGTGTTCAAACACATCCATGCTGAGAAACCCAATGTTTTGTTCCATGTAAGCCGCAGTTCGGTTCGGTTCGGCGCGCGCGCGTGCGGTGCGGTTCGGCTTGTTCGGTTCGCGTCCGAGACCGGTTCAGTTCGGATCGCGTCGTAGACGGCTCCGTTTTGGCCGGTTCGGTTCGGCTGGTTCGATTCGGCCGGTTCGGTTTCCCTGTTTTCGGCCAGGTCGGTTCGACCAGTTCGACCAGTTCGCCCCGACGAATCGACGCAGACCAGGTACGGTCGGATCCGACTTCGATATCTTGTTGCCGACCTATTTTGTCGTTGGTCGTCGTCGCCGCCGCAACGGCCGTCGCCGCCGCCGCCGTCGTCGTCATTGTCGTCGTCGTCGTCGTCGTCGTCGTCGTCGTCGTCGAACGTCGAACGTCGAACGTCAAACGTCGACGTCGTCGCTGCCGCCGCCGTCGCCCCGCGCCGCCCCCGGTCCACCGAGTCGGGGCCACCGAAGGGAGCCAACGAGAATGGCTCCCGAGGGTGGCCACCGAGGGGGGCCACCGCGGGGGCCAGGGCGACAGGAGGGGGGCCACCGAGGAGGGCTTCGAAGGGGGCCACCGAGGGAGGCCACCGAGGGGTCGCATGGAGGGCAGCCACCCAGAGAGGCCCACCGAGTGAGGGGGTACGGAGGGGGGCCACCGAGGGGGACCGAGGGGTGCACGGAGGTGGGCCACCAAGGGGGGCCACCAAGGGAGGCCACCGAGGGAGGCCACCGAGGGGGGGCCACCGAGGGGGGCTACCAAAGGGGGGCCACTGAGGCCACCGAGGGAGGGCTCGGAGGGAGGACCACCGAGGGGGGGGCACGGAGGGCGGCCACCGAGAGAGGCCACCGAGAGGAGGCCACCAGATGGAGCCACCGAGGGCGGCCACGAGGGGGGGGGGGGCACCGATGGGGGGGCACCGAGAGGGGCCACCGAGAGGGGCCACCGAGGGGAGCCACCAAGGTGGGGCCACCCACCGACGTGAGCCGCCGAGAGGGGCGACAGAGGGGTGGCCACCGAGGAGGGGGCACGGAGGGAGGCCACCGTGGGCCACCGAGGGGAGCCACCAAGGGGGGAGGCCATGGATGGGAGCCGTCGAGGGGGGCCACCGAGGGGGGCCACGGAGGGGGGAGCACGGAGGAGGGCCACCGAGGAAGGCCACCGAGGGAGGCCACCGAGGCGGGCTACCGAGGGGGCCACCAAGAAGAGCCACCGAGAGGCGGGTCACCGAGGAGGGGCCACCGAAGAGAGAGCACGGAGGGAGACCACTGAGGGGGGCCACGATGGGGGGGGACGGACGGGGGGGACACCGATGGCGGCCTCGAAGGGGGGGCCACTGAGGGGGGCCACCGAGGGGGGCCACCGGCGGGGGCCACGGAGGGGGGCCACCGGAGGGAAGGGCCACATGCAGGGAGTCCACGGAGGAGGGAGCACGGAGGGGGGGCCATCGAGGGGGGGAACCGAAGGGGGGGCATCTAGAAGGGCCATCGATGGGTGGCTACCGAGGCGGGGGCACGGAGGGGGGCCACCAGATGGGGCCACTGAGGGAGGCCACCGAGGGGGAGGCACCGAGGGGCAAACGGGTTAGCGGACGGGGGCCTCGGGGGGGGGGCACCGAGAGGGGGCACGGAGGGGGGGGGGGGCACCGAGGAGAGGCACGTAGGGGGACCACCTAAGGGGGCCACCGAGGGGGGGCACGGAGGGTGGCCACCGAGGGGGGCCCACCGAGGGGGGGCCACCGAGGAGGGCCACCGAGGGGGGCCACCGAGGAGGGCCACCGAGGGAGCCCCTTGGCCTGTCGTCGTCGACGTCGACGTCGACGTCGATGCCGCCGCTGTCACTCCGCGCCGTCTCCCTTGCGGCCAGCCAGGTGCCCGCGGTGATGCCCGCGACGGTCTGGTTCGGCCTGCTCGGCTCGCGCAGCAGACCAGATCCGTTGCTGGTCCGAGTCGGCTGGCCGGTCTGGTTCGGCCTTTTCGATTCTAGAGCCGGTTCTCGGTTCTCGGCTTGTTGGTCCGCGGCAGTGAGGTTTTTAAAGTATAGGGATGGTAGAAATCTTGAAATCCTGCGGGCGCGCTTCCACGTCATCCCCATCAGCCCGGATCGTTACATCCGAGGTTGGTTAGCAGGTCGACCTTGCCAAATCAAGGGTCCCCTTGTGTCCTGTGTTCCGCGACCCATGCCTTGTACATTCCTGTGGCGATGTGGCCCTCGGAAGGGTCTTGTGTCCTGTCGCGTGTCGTCTCCAATCAACCCCGACTGTATCGCCATCGTTAGCATCATGATATCAATCGTCATCGACGTGGTCATCATCATCACCGCCGCCGTCGTTATCGTCGATGTCGCTGCCCTCGACACATTTATGTGCGCGGCCACTTCCTCGCCGTCGTTATCAGCACCATCGCCATCATCATCGCCAGCGTTCTCGTTGCCACCGCCTTGATCGTCACCATCAGCTTCTTCACCATCACCATCGCCTTCTCCGATATTGCCAACATCACCATAGTCACTGCCATCGACGGTTGAATTCCACGAGCCCGTACGTTCGTTGAGGTCGCGGCCAGATGAATTTTGCCAACAAGTTGCGGGTGGGAGGATGGGAAGATGGGACGTTTGCACGAACATGCCAGGTGTTCACGCGCGGATGCGGGCTGCACTAATTGCACCAAATAGATCTCATCACAGTGGTTGTGCAACATCGGTTGCACCACATTGGTAGCACCACATCAGTGGATTGCACATCACATGTTGCACGACTTATGTTGCAAATCGTGAGTTGCATCCCATACTACCACCACAATCTGCCCACGATTCCTTGCACCACATATACTGTACTGCATGGATTGCGCCATACACGTTGAAACAATCTAATTGTACCATACCCAGATTGCACTACAAAGGCTGCACATCGGGAGTGTAAGGTCCCACTGTTCTGAGTCTACGCTGGCAAACGAGTTCGTGCGGCCTCTTGGCTCTCAGGATGTCGTATAACGACCTCATGGTCCAGGACAAGGCCCACCCGGTGACCACCATGTATCCAGTCATCCTCGCGTCGAACGACTTCAAGAGATGGCACGTGGTGGCCGATGCGGACGACGTGCAGGGCGACAGCACGTCCAACGCCACTTCGACCCAGGAGCTCGCGCACCTCGCCCCGCCCCTGCTAGTGGCCAACCTGAAGCCGTTCGGGTGCGTGAACAACGAGACCGGCACCACGGACCCGTTCATGTGGTTCTTCGCCTCGGCCGAGAAGGCGAACCGCTACAAGTGGAGGCTCGTCGAGCACATCTCGACGCACGGCTCCGTGAACCTCGTCGCCTGCGTGATGCAGGGGTTCGACAAGGTGAACGCGCTGATGACCTACTTTGCCACGAGCTGCATCACCGCCACGGGCAAGATGCAGTGCACGCAGACGCCGCGGGAGGCGTTGGGGCAGTGCTACGCCCTCGGCTCCGCATGCGGCCAGGCCTGCGGCTTCTTCTCCCCGAACGTCCAGCATTGCAGCGAGGGCCACATCGACCCGTACCTCTTCCAGGGCCTCACGTCCAAGAGGGTGAGCATCAAGACGTCGTCCGGCGGAGGCGCCTCGAACGCGCTGGTGAACTGCAACGACCAGGGCTGCAAGACGGGCCTCAGCTTCGACGGGATGTACGCGGAGGCCGACAACCCGAACGACTTCGTGGTCGAGTCTGGGGACAAGGAGATGGCGGACTTCTACACGATCGTGTTCGCCATGTCCGACGTCGAGGAGTCAGGCTCTGAGGCGCCAGCGGCGGGTGCAGCGGAGGACGCCCTGGCAGGCGAGGACGACCTGGAGCAGCTGGCCGACCGGAGGCTCCAGGTCGCCAACAGCAAGTATCTCTGGCAGATCGCCCACATGCCCAATCTTACGCGGGGCGTATTCAAGGACCCAGAGTGGGAAAAGGCGCCGATGCCGGTACCCATCCCTCCTTTTCGCTGTCATGGGCCTCCTGGGAGGCCCTCGGCGCCACGGCGGCATTCGCCCCGAGATCCTGGTCAGAACGCACCCCACGGGAAAACCTGGGGAGTATCAGCATCAAAAACTTCTGGTTCCCCCAAGGACCACAGTTCGAACACCATGCGCATCGAGCCCACGAGAGAGTCCTGCTTCACGCAGCCAGGATTCACTTACATTCGAAGAAGAAACAACGACATCAACGTAAATGTTCGAAGCTCCGCGCGGATTTCTTCGATCGGCGCTGGACCCTCCTCCCTGGCGCGCGGAGAGCGCCAGGGGCGGGGCCAGAGGCGCCGCCAGGGGGCACTGGCGCCGATCCGAGAAAGCCGCGCGGCGCTCCGAAAGCTTGCGTGCGTGCCGTCTTTTCTTGCTCTGCGCATGGTGGCCTGCATGACGGCCATCCGGGGAGAAACCTAAACCCCCGCCACCGAGAACCTGTCGGTGGGCCGCCGACCCCCCGGGCGGCGGCGCGCCCGAGCGCCGCCCGGGCACGGGACGGCGCTCGGAGGCGTGCCGCCGCCCAGGGGAGTGGGACCCCTGGGCGGTGGCACTCCCGAGCGCCGCCCGGGCACAGGACGGCGCTCGGAGGCGTGCCGCCGCCCAGGGGTCGGCGGCCTCCACGCGCTGGGCTCCTGGGTGGCCGTGGCCCGTGCTGCCCTCTCTTTCCTCCGCCTCCGCCTCCGATCCGCCTCCTCCTCCTCCTCTCCCTCCTCCTCCGCCTCCTCCTCCTCCTCCTCCTCCCTCCTCCTCCTCCCTCCTCCTCCTCCTCCTCTCCTCTTCCTCCTCCTCCTATTCCTCCTCCTCCGCCTCCTCCTCCGCCTCCTCCTCCTCCGCCTCCTCCTCCTCTTTGAGGCCAAGCCCGTCTTCACCGCCGGCAACATGGTGGACATCCCGGGCCCGCCCTTCAACGACCGCTGCGTGGCGGTCGGCGGCCTCTGCGGCGCGGCCTGCGGCTCCGGGCAGACGCTGGACGAGGAGGCCACGCGGTACTGCCCGCAGCGCGGCGGCTCGCCGGACGGCCGCCGCCTGGACGGCTCGCTGGACCTCAGGGGCAGCGGGTGGGGTCATGATGTTCCAGCCTACTTTTTAGTTTTGACCACCAGGAAGGATTTCGAGCACCAGAAAAGTGCCCCAAAACTCCAGGATTTTCACGTGTCGGGCCCTGGGAGGCACTCGCTCGCCATTGTTTCGACGCTGTTGCGACCCTCTTTCGACACTTTCCCGGGTGCTCGACATCATTTTCTGGGATGTGGTCCTTAAGCACGATGGGAGCAACATAAGGCTGGGGGGGATCGGCTCCGGATGGTGAGGGCATCGGCCACCGAACGCCCACGCATCGCCGACGGGGGCCCGACAGGTCCAGTCCCGCTCGGGAGCCTGCGGCTTCGCCATCGGGGGCCCATCGCCGAGCCATCGGCGAGGCATCGCCGCTTCCCGGCCGACGCTCCCTCCCCCACCATCGCGCCCCCTCATAGGACTACTCGCCGTACGCCTCCACGGTGATCTCGAAGGAGGAAAGATGCATACACATAAACTTTCCGGAGGCCTGCGCGGAGGTCGTGCGTCCGCGCCGGGCCCACATGGCGGCATCTCGGGCGCCGCCCCTGGCGCGCTCGGCACGCCTGGGAGGGGGGCCCAGCGCAGATCTGAGAACTCCGCGCGGACCGCTGAAATTTTATGTCTGCGCATCTGTTCTTCTTCTGCCATCCCGATGGAGTACCTCGTGAGCCCCATCGAGCCCCGGAGGTCGGCGACCACGAAGTCGACGGCCGCGAGCTTCTTCTTCCACAGCTTCATCTTCTTCGTCGCCGTCTCGTACGTGGCCACGATCCTCAGCAAGTTCCCTGGCAACTTCAGCGACTTCTACCCGATGCACACGTGGGACGAGCTCCGGACGCACGGCTACGTCCTCGAGAAGTTTGGTTGCGCCGCAGCCTTCGGTATCCAGGAGCGAAAGAAGGACGCACATGTACATGAATCAACGTTGGTTTCGAGGTATTTTCGCATTGCGCGGGCTGCCGTATCACACGGCCGCATCACGCGGCTGGTCTCGCGGACGGGGGGGCCGTGCTCATGTACGGGGTTGGGCGCGGACAGGGTCCGGCTTGCATTTGGAGCACTCACTTTTCAAAAGGGTCTCGGTCGTTCCTTCGGTTCGCATGCGTTCCGCTGCCGTTTTGGCGGCGGGCCCCCCTTGACGAGCGAACAGCTCACACCCATACCCATAGGAGGGTCGAAAGGAGGGTAACTGGCTATGGGTATGGGTGCGAGTTGTCGGACCCTGGGGGAAGCTCCCGTTCGAGCGGGGACCCCCATCCGACAACACGCACCCATAGCTTCCTCCGTCCCCTCTATGGGTATGGGTGCGTGTTGTTCGATCGTCACCCCTGGTGTTCCTTTGGACTTCGCCGAATACTGTACGTCCTCCTGTGGGCTCCCATAGGTATCTCCGCGGGCGAGCACAAGATGATCGTGCTCAGGAACTGGCTGGGCAGGATCGCCGCGCGGCCCGAGTTCGAGGACCAGTGCTGGACCCAAACGCTGTATTGCTGGACTTCGGCTGCGTTTTGTTTCTCGTTGTGGGAGGGCGGTGCAGGAAAACAGGTAGAGCAGAATGAAAAACATAGTGAAAACAACACGAAAAACAACATGTAGCTCCAGCCCTGTCGAGGACCGCGCCTTTCCCACCTTCCGGCGCTGGGTGGACGCCTTCGCGGACGAGGGGCACCGCGAGGGCGCCCGCTTGCTGTGGCTGGCCTGGGGCGACTTCCTGGACACGAACCCGCCAGTGGAGTTCCTGGAGGAGTGGTCCGACAGCCTGCGGGAGCAGTCGTGGGAGGCTGGGAGCAGAAACCAGGGATGGACAGAGCCCCCACCCTGACACGTCGATTCACTTGGTATCGCTCGGACGTGTGCATTTCTTCTCGGCGGGGATTATTCAGAAGCATCCTGGATCATCCTGCGAAAAAGCCACGCACGAAGCCGAAAAGAGCACAGGGAATGGACGTCCGAGCGACGGGGAGTTAGTGAATTGGCCGTTTGAGGGTTCTCGAGCGGGCGCCGCGGCCGTCCTTTCCCAGGCTCTTGCGCCCGCCAGGCTTGGGGCCCGAGGTCGTCGTCACGAAGCCACGTTTTACTAAAGGGGGTCCTGCCCATCCCCGAAGAAACAGCTCGAGGAGGAAACACAGCGGCATGTAGCCTAGATTTTGGGCGCTCCGCGCGGATCGCTCGGCTCCGCGCTGGGCCTCCCGAACGGCGCCTCTGGCGCCGGCGCCGCCCCTGGCGCGCTCCGCGCGCCGGGGGCGGGGGGGTCTGGCGCAGATCCCAGAAATCCGTGCGGAGCGCCAACAGTGTATGGTCACGGCGTATGTCCTCTTCGTTCGAAGCAGCGCGAGCGTGAGCTTCCAGAGGTCCGCGCGGGCCTCCGAAGTTTTCTGTTTGCGCCGCTGCTAGGGGGCCACTTGCGAACCCTACCCCACCCTCCTCTTCAGAAATCGCGGGGGGTAGGGGTAGGGTTCGCATGTGGCCCCCATAGCTGCTTCTTCCCCATGAGGCTGCGCACTCCAGGTCGCCTTTCGAGCTGTCCTGGGGGAACAGGCGGGTGCTCCCTGTGACCCACAGCCAGGCTCGGGAGAGGAAAAAACACACAGACACAATTAATCGTCGACTCCCAAAAATATAGCAAAATATGGGAAGTGGGGGGGAAGACGAAATCCAAGAAATATTGGAAGATATGGGGGATCCTGTTATTTGAGTATTTCTTTGTGTGTCCCAGGGCCCCTTCACAGGCGCAGGCCTTCGCAACGCAGGCGGGCCAGGCCGCTCCCGAGGGCGGGGTGGAGCTCCAGCAGGACTCGCTGGCGAGGCTCAAGGATCTGGCAGACCTCTACAAGCAGCTGCCGGGCGATCTGAAGATGGAGCATCCAGTAACAAAAAGGCATACATCGAGGGCGTAAAAGACGCCCCTACCCTGGTGTACGAGGCGCTGTGCGCTGAACCTCCTGTGGGCTGACAGGGTAAACCCTGCACATCGCGCGTGTCGCGCGGCATCCTGGCGGCTCTCTGGCTTCTGGGAGCTCCCAGGAGGTTTACAGACCACGCACTTGCAGCCCAGGGTAGGGGCGTTTTTGCATCCCTCCAATGAACTCACTTTTTCGGAGGTCCGCGTGGATTTATGGGATCGGCGGTTGGCGCCCTGGGCAGCGCCTCCGGCGCCGCCTCCGGCGCCGATCCAAGAAATCCTCGCAGACCTCTGAGAAGATGCCTATGTGGTTTGCTTGTTCTTCTGTAGGAGCAGTCCTTGAGCAAGAAGGACGACTGCGTCCTGACCCGGGAGATCAACCTGGGGCTGAAGTCAGAATCGGCCAAGAGGAGGGGCCAGGGTTGCTACACGATCAAGTACGGCCAGGCATGGATGAAAGACATGGACGGGAAGTTCCAGGAGCGGAAGGCCGCGACGAGCGCAGCCACGATGGATAGCTACAAAAAGCACTTGGCTATCATGGACGCCAAGGGCCGCATGCTCCAGCTGGGGCAGCTGGTCAAGGACCTCCCGGAGGCGCGCTTCCCCCTCCACTTCCGGGAGATGCCCGCGCACAGGGACCGGAAGGTGATCATGATCTACCTGGCGCGGGCACGGCCCGAGACGGAGCGCAGGGGCATCGAGAAGACGCGCGGGCTGGACAAGTACCTCTGGGCCTGCCTCAAGCCGAGCGCCGTGCGGCCCTACCCCGGGGAGGACGGCGCCCGCAGGCCGTTCCGGCGCCGCAGGGCCGACGGCAAGGAGTCCGAGCCCCTCCTGGGCGCGGCCGCCCCGCAGCCGCAGGGCATCCAGGGCGAGGTGCGCAGGTGCGTCCAGGAGGTCCTGGCGCGCCAGCACCGCAAGTTCCTCGAGGCGCTGGAGGAGCCCGCCGCCTCGCAGCAGCAGAAGATGCGCGGTCACAAGGAGCTGGCCGAGGAGCCGGAGGAGGAAATGGGTGCCCATCTACCTCGGAGGTTGATAGACCTCCTACCCTGACACGTCGATTAGCGAATTGGCCGTTTTCGTTTCGCGAGAGGGCATCGCGGCCGTCATTTTTGCGGGTCCAGATACATCGGTCTCGGTCCCAGGCCGTTTTCACTGAAGGGGGGGGTTTTCTAGAGGGAGGTTGGTCCACCGCCTGATACGACCGCTGCAGCTGCTTCGTTGTCGCCTTATCTGGGCCTCCGGGGATGCCCTCGTCGCCACGGCCGGCTTCGCCTCGAGATTCTGGTCAGAGGGCGCACCCCGGGAGAGGTCTGGAGAGCAGCAGCGTCGGCATCGGTGTCGCTCTGTCTCCCCGAGGAGTACCTGAAGTACCGCGTGGTGGACTCGGACTGGGAGCTCGGCCGCTGGTGCTACGGGGAGGTCGTCGGCGAGGACCAGGACGTCCACGGCGACGACGTGCTGGTCCTGGACAATCCCTCCTCCGCGCTGCTGGAGCTGGTCACCACCTGCGAAGGTGCCAAGAAGGCTGGCATGGGGCTGGTGTCCATGGAGAACGTCGAGGAGGTCGCTTGCCGCTGCCTCGTGCGCAACACGGTCCGCGTGGCCATGGCAACGCAGCCCAGCTTGGAGTTCCTCTTCTCCGCGTACGACGAGGACGAGCGGTCGGCGTACAGTCCGCAGGCGTTCGAGAGGGCGATCCGCGAGAAGCTGCGCGAGTTCGTGAGCGACCAGGCCGCGAAGATGCTGCCGAAGTGCACCATCACCCAGCATCAACAAGGAGTCGACCTCTCCGTAGAGATCACCGGGGATGGCGCGGTCATCGAGGAGATCCGCGCCCGCGTGGACACGAGCCTGTCCGTGATGAGCTACGAGGGTCGCTTGATGGACAGCCACCCCACAGTCCTCGTCAAGAGGAACCTTCTCATGCCGTACATCGGCGTGCGCGGGAAGGGCGGCGGTCTCAATTTCGCGGTCGACATATTGCAGTTCCGCGACGGCTTCATCGGCACAGGGCTCGAGCAGGACCCGACCCCAGAGCGCATGCTCTTCGGCATCTTCGACGCTCGTCACCAGCCGCACCCGGACTTCTGGCGCATGGTGCTGCCCAAGTTCGTGCAGAGCGCCAGCGTCGGCTTCACCTACGAGGTCAACAAGGATATAGCCATGGTGCAGGCTCCTCAGCACTTCGCCCACCTGAAGGCGGAAGACGACGTCCTTGACGTGCTCAATGGCGCCGCGTTCAACATCATGAACGTCATCCGAAACAGGTGCGGCGGGGTGACCTCTTGCGGGACCAACGCGGTGTGGCAGATCGATGCGGTTGATTTCAGTAGACAGACTGAGGAGTCTGTGCATTTTGAATACTTCGAGTCGCGTACCAAGATTGAGGACACGGCCACCTCGCACCAGCATTTCTGCCGGGGCAAGCGCAGCGTGTACGTGCAGGAGCAGGTTTGCACTGGAATCGCCAAGGTGAACGCGGACTACCTCGGCGCTGTGCAGCGCTGGGCTGAGGGCGCAGTTCAGCTTTTCTGGGTGCAGTTGTTTGTTGACCGCACTCCGCAGCTGGTCATCTTCGCCTGGTGCGTCCTAGGATACTTTGGAATTGTCTATCATTTTGTCTACGGATCTTGGGCCAAGGACCTGCTGGGGTACAACATGTTTTGTGACACGCCGGGCACCCCCACGATCATGTTCGGTGCGGACGCGAGCCTCTGTACTAGTTTGTACAGTGGATTCAAGTTCTTCCTTGGACACAACATCGACAGGGTGGTCTACAAGCTAGCAGAGGAGCAGTACATGTTATTGATCGACGTCACCCTGACGTGGTTTGTAACCTGTTGTGGGATGGCCCTCGCAACGGTGTTCCTGTCCTTCCGCGGTATTATGCCCAGCATCGTCCGCCTGTTCATCATGACGGAGAACATAACCTACTTCTGGACCTCCCTCGCGATCTTCTTCTGGATCTCGCTCACGGTCTTCATGGTGATCAGCACGACGCCGCCGTTGATGTTCAACGTCAGCCATTTTGCCATATACATCATTTTCATCAAGATCTCGGAGAACGGTATGCTCCACTACTACAAGTCGCTCGGCGAGAGCAACGAGCTCGCCATCTGGCGCGGGCAGCAGTCGTACATGATCTCTGCCCCACTATATGTGATGTCCATTGTTCAGGGCACCTTGGCAGCGTGGGGCATTGCATGGCGCAACACGGACAAGTCTTTCTGGAGTTCTGCCGACCACGGCGCCGACGTCATTCGTGTCGCCACCATGTGGGTGACATTCATCTGGCTACTGCTGCTTTTCTGCGTCGGCTTCACAGTCATCATGGCGACCCGCTTCGACCTCTTCCACGACATCGGGGACAAGTTTGAGAGGCAGTGCCAGGTGTGCGCCTGCTGGATGATGTTTCTGGTGGCGCTGACCGTCTGGGAACCCCTGCTGAAGTTCTGGGGCTTCGATGACAAGATCGAGGCGATGAGCAATGATAAGAATTCCAACATTGGCAGGTGGTGGGCCAGCTTCAACATGTGGTGGCGCACCCGGGCTTGGATCACTCGGTCCTGTGGGGCAAAAGATACCTGTATGTTACTCCCCGGACCTCTTCCAGGGTGCGTCCTGACCAAGTTTCCAAGGCGAATCCAGCCGTGGCGACGAGGGCCCCCCAGGAGGCCCAAGAAGGCGAAACCTACGAAAGCAGATTCGCAGAGTGCACTTCTACACCACCACGACCATGCCTGGCCAGGGCCATCATAGGCCCTCGGCTGGTGCACAGACCCTTCTGGCCTCGGCCAGGAAGGCATGCCAGGGCCCAGGATGGCCCTGGCCGGGCATGATCGTGGTGCACAGGCACCTTCTGCCTGGGACGTCGGTTCCGATCGTTCTTTCGCCTCTGAGGTACGTGACCGACTTTGGGCTGCCCCTGCTCATCCTGTCTGGCGCCACGGGCGGCAAGAGCATCTTCGCCGCGCTCGCCTACGCCACCTCCGGCGCCGGCGCGGAGCGCTGAGGCCCAGACCTCTGTGAATTCAACGGGCTCACGACCGGAGCTCCGCGCGGCCTTCTCGGGTCGGGGCCGGCGCCGGGCCCCCTCTCCGCACCCCCCCGGGCGCGCCGCAGGCGGGAGAGGCGGTGTGTGGAAGGGGGGGTCCAGCGCCGACCCGGGAGATCCCCGAGCGGGCCTCCGAGCGCCGCTTCCCCCCGGGGGGGTGGGCTTTCGCCCCGGGTGCACCTCTGTGATGGCCCCGAGGCCCGAAAGAGAGCCCCGCGGGCCGAAGGTGGCGCAGCCAGGTCTTAATTCGGGGGGGCGGCCTTGCGGACCTCAAGGAGCTCCCCTGTCGCTCCAGGCCGCCTGCCGCGGGCCTCCCGCCGCGGGCCGAGCCTTTTGCCACCACGTTTTCCACGGCAGCCACGGAGTGTGAAGTACGTACGGTGGGTGCGCGTCGTGTCGACTGGCGGCGACTCCGAGTCGGTCGATGCTGAGCGATCTGACGTTGGTCAAACTGCGGGCAATATTAATATCCATATCCAGTGCGTCTTGGACTTTCTTGAAGGGGCGCCGCAAGGCCGAGGCGCACTGGATGTGGATAGAATTTGAGCTTTTTGGAAACAAATTATAATCCATATCCAGTGCGCCTCATGTTTCTTGGGGAGAGAGGCCGAAACTCCAAGACGCACTGGATGGGGATAAAGACATTGCCCGCATAAGCGATCCCCGCGGTGTCAGGAGCCAACGCCAGGGCCCACACGACACGAGCCCACCGTGCCCCGCTTTCGCTTCCAGGCAAGACCAGGTCATGCCGCGCGGCTCCTCATCAAGCAGCCTGGTCGTTGCGGGCCACCACACGGGCAGTTGGTACCGTTTGGGCCTCTTTTGCAGGGTCCGGTTCGATTCGATCGATCTGCTGCGATATCGGCTCTGACCAGCACGATTTGATTTGATGTCGATGCTCCGGCGATCCGATGCGACCCGATGTTCGCATGGCGTTGTTGTGCACCCTGGCGCGGCGGATTCTATTTTCTAACCAGCCTCGAACTTATCCCTATCCCTGAGATTGACACGCCAAAAGGCGATGACAGTCTTAGGGATGCAGCCTCAGAAATTGAAGGATTCCCTAAGATCGCCATCGTGACGAGGCGATGCCCAACATAGGGATAGGGATAGGTTCCAGGCTGGTAAGATTCGATTCGATTCCGACCTCGTTTCCACGTGACCCCATCCGACCCGCGTTCCAATCCGATCCCAATTTCCGATCCGAGGTCGACCGGTCCTGGTCTGGAAGCGCCTGTGGCCGAAAGCGAGGCAGCCTCGTCTGCCCCCTTTGCCTGGGCAGTGCCAATGCGGTGGTGCCTGCTCGGCGCGCCAGCCGCGAGAAACGCGCGCCGCGGCCTTCCCCTGCCCGGCCGGCCGTGCGCGGCGCGCCACGGGTGCGCCGCGCTCCTTTGTTGCAAGCAGTGGCGGAGCATCCTGGCTCGCCTATAGGCCCGCCAAGGAATGTTCCAAGAGCCTTTTGCAGTATGCACGACATGTACTTAGCGCATGTCTGCAGTATCGTTTGTCCCCTTCGAGGCCCCCACCAAAGTGCCCCCCCCCAGTGGGGGATACACCCCTCGAAAACCCGAAGGGAACAACCTATATCCCCATCTAGGTGGGCAAATCGGCCAGTGGGGCCCAGGCCGCGCCACTGGAGATGGGGATCGGTTAAACGATACTCATGCCTGGCTGGAACCACTTTGTTTCAGCACATCGGCTTTATGTTCTAAGAACATTGTTTTTGTGTTTTGAGCATTCTCTGGTTTTGAGAACATCTCCTGGTGGGCCTATAGGAATGCTGTGACGGTCGGTCTCTGCTCAAGTGTTCGTTGTTATCGACCGCGTTTGCGTTTGGACAATGCTTTGCATGACTGTTCGTCCTCCCCACAGACCTGAAGAACGAAAACTGCAATGTGACCAGGAAGAGATACCGCCGAGGCGCTGACATGAGGGCCACTGTGGGTTCGGAGGGGGCCCGCCTCTCCTTGGTCAGGTAGGACAGAAACACACAGACACAATGAACCGACGACTCCCAGGAAAATATGGGAAATATTGGAATTGGGGGGGATAGCGAAAACCCATACAATATTGGAAAACATAGGGGATCCTGCTATTTGTTTGTATTTATGTGTGTTCCCTTGGGACCCTCGACTTGGGTCACCCTGTGGTTGCTCCTCTAGCCCTCCTCGTGCGCCCAGGCGCTGCTGGTGCCAGAAACGGGCTCCGCGCCTTCTTGGGAATGCCTTACGGCCGGTGCCGCCGACGACGGCGGCCGCGACGACGACGACGACGCTGACGCTCTGGAGCCCCTGTTGGGCCTCTTTTGGGAGCCTATTCGGCTCTGTTGGGGGGCCTCTCGGGGGACTTCGTGGGAAGCTCCGTGGCCACCCGGAGCCGCCTCGGAGCAGATCTGACGCCTCCCTCGAGGCAGGGAGGGAAACACGCAGCAGCCCGCAGCAGCAAGTCAGAGTGAGGAGGGTCCCTGCCGGAGTGGGGTGTCCTGGAGGAGGGGGGCACGGTGGTCACCACGTCAAACAGAACAAATGAGGAGGGGTCCTGAGCCCCCCGTTTTCCCACATGGGGGCCATGGGGGTCACGACCCCCGGGAGCCCCCAGGGACATCCCCCTCCCGGATCCCCCTTGTAGGGGCCCCCTCCCCGCCGACAAGGGAAGGGGCTTCCCCTTCCGAATCTCCGTCTGGCGTTGTTCGAGTTCCGTCTGGCTGGGATCGCTGGAGGAGGAGGGCCCAGAGGAAGAGGGGGGGATGTAGAACGGAAAAACGTCCCACGCACGCCGACAGGGTCGGCGAATTGAGCGTTCCTTATGGTAGCAGCTTGCTCGTGCTCGAGGCCTCCCAGATGTGGTCGGAGTAGATGGGGTCGGATGATCGCGCCGCATCGCCGATGCATCGGTAATGCGGCGCGATGTGGAGCCAGATGTTATCCACGCCGACGTCGCCAGTGCATCACCGACGTCGCCGGTGCATCCACGATGTGGGGATCCAGCGCCGATCCAAGAATTTCGCGCGAACCTCTGAGGGATTATGCTTACGCCGTCCTTCTTCTCATTGATAGTATCAGTATTCGTGATTGCCCTCATTATCATGCTTCCTCTTAGTATGCCCTTTTACTATTATTGTTGTTCACGTTCCCTTCTACCAGGATCTGTCGACTCCTTCGAAGGTGCCTGTCTCCTCCTCCTGGTCTTCCATTCAGAGAGCATTGGGCAACGCTTCCAAGTGCATGCAGCGATCTATCGTCGCGGCTTTTTCCCTGTGCCCAGCATGCACTAGTGCAGCTTAGGACAATTAATCAGCATTCACTTGCGCTGGCTAGTGGCTGCCGCCACTTGCGAAGAGTGCATGACGATACGTACGGCGTATAAATTGCCCCTCGGGGTGCTCGAATTCACACAGCGCAGCTAGCGCTGAAATCGTTTAGCAAAGGCTCCAATGCGAGCGGGACCTGGACACGAGCGTGGCTGGTACCATGCTGGAGACCCCGGCGCAGCGCTGCTGGGGAGCGGGTGGCCCTCGCGAAGTCAACGCAGCTTCTCGAGGGACGCCCCAGAAGCATTCGGCATAGATTGTCGCTCGACGTGGCGGCATCCCATCCTCCCATCATCCTATTCCTTCATTTTCTTTTCATTCAGGAGGGAAAAAACACACACAGACACAATTAATCGTCGATTCTCCTTAGAATATTGGAAAAGAGGGGAAGTGAGGGGGAAGACGAAAACCCAGAAAATATGGGAAAATGTGGGGAATCTTTTTATTTGTGTGTATTTGTTTGTGTGTCCTGGGGCCCCGTCATTCATTGGGTAGTCGAGGAGGCGGTGACATGTCTTGGCGTCGCTGACATGCAGCGTTGGAAAACAATCGAAAAAGAACATCAGCGCCAGCGGCGGGCTCCTTCGTTGAATGTTCCGCGCAATCTGTTTCCGGTAAGCCGTCTGAGGGGCCCGCGGCGTCGTGGGGACCAGTCTCCGCGGGGCCCACGGGTGGCGCCGGAATTGGTTGCGCAGTCGTGCAGCAGCGTTGAAAATTAGGACAATCTGCGTTTGCGGCGGGCTTCATCACTGAATGCATTGTTTAACCTGTTTTAGTGAGGGGGGCCGCGGTGAAAGTTAGCACTAATCCTGACCATCCGGATCAGCTGGTACCTCGCCTGGCTCGGTGGGTCCAGCCGGGGCCGTTTCGACCAATTCCGGCCAGGCAAAGATCAATGGTCTCTTGTGTTTCTATTGGATACCTTTGAGGGCTCTCTGAGAAGCCGTTGGTGCCCTCCCGCAGGCTTCATAGAGGCGTCTGAGAGGCTGCTGCGAGGCTTCTGAGAGGCTTCTGATTGAGAGGTTTCTGCGAGGCTTCTGTGAAGTTTCTGAGAAACTTCTGAGAGGCCTCTCGGAGGCTTATGAGAGACGTATGAGAGGCTTCTGCGTGGTGAGCGGGAAGTTTATGAGAGGTTTTTGATAGTCTTCCGAGAAGCCTCTGAGAGGCTTCTGAGAGGCTTCTGAGTGGTTTCTGAAGAGAGCAGGCTTCTGATAGGAGCTTTCTGAGAGGCTTCTGAGAGGGTTCCGAGAAGCTTCTGACAGTCTTCTGAGAGGTTTTAATCTGGGTCTGAGAGTCTTCTGAGAGGCGTCTGAAAAAACTTCTGAGAGGTTCCCAAGAGGCTTCCGAGAGGCTTCCGATAAGCTTCTGAGCGATTTCTGAGAAGCTTCCGAGAGGCTTTTGAGAGGCTGTTGCGCGGCGGCTTTTGACAAGCTTCTGAGAAGTTTATGAGAGGCAGGTTTCTGAGAGTCTTCTAACACTTCTGAGGAGCCTCTGAGAGAAAGAAATAAACAAAAAACGAAACAAAAAAACATATTTCGAGGGATTACTGAGAGGCTTCTGAAAAGGCTTTTGCGGGGAAGGGGGCGGCGAGGAAATCCAGTGGAGGTTTTTGGTGTGTTTCGGCTTCTGGAAGTCACCCCTGCAATTC